CAAGGAAACCCGACCCTCCTCTGCTGCCAACTCACTTAGCATGTGAGCTGGACGATGGCGGGCCGACCGAGCCTCCCTGACACCCACACACTCTGCGTAGTTCTTCTTGCTCATCAGTGTCGTCGTTGTGTCTCTCTCGATGCTGTTTGTCTGCAGAAAGAGGTCACCATCTCCCGAGCCAGAGCCGAAACGCAGCAGAAGGGAAAGGTTAGTTTAGTGGGGTGCTGTTTCTAGCCTTTGAATAGCGTTGTCTCCCTGTGTTTGTTGCATGTCGAGTGCTGGGTGGATTTGATTGTGTTCAGGATCTCATCAGTATCATGATCGTCGTGTGATCTGTACGTGTACGTGTGTGTGTGTGTGTGTGTGTGTGTACCCGTGTGTGTGTGCGCGCACGTGCGTGTTCGTGTGCGTGTCTGTTCACGCGTGATTGTCCGCAGATCACCTGTCGCATCTGGCCGTCGTTCGAAAAGGTAAATACAAGCACGTGTGCTCTTGTAGTGTGTGCTCGTACCACTTCTACACGACGATTGTGTACTAGTCTGTTTGTTGTTCCTGTTGCGCGGTCAATTCTGTATGGGTACTGTATTGGCTCTGTATGAGTACTGTATTGGCTCTGTATGAGTACTGTATTGGCTCTGTATGAGTACTGTTTGGGCTCTGTATGAGTACTGTATTGGCTCTGTATGAGTACTGTATTGGCTCTGTATGAGTACTGTTTGGGCTCTGTAGGATTCTGTGTGGGTGCTGTATGATTGTGTTTTTTTATTGCTATCCACCATTTCCCTTGGCTGCATCCAAGTTTCTTCTGCCTCAAGCTACCATTGTCATTGTGTACGAGATGGCTGAGCCGTTGTACCGTATGTCGCCAGCGGTCTGGTGTGTTGGTGCTAGTGCGGCCCCGTGCGTGCATGCATGTGTGACGTTATTGTTTGTGTCCGAGTGTGCATGCCATGCTTGCATTCATTTCTCTTCACATGTCTCTCTGTGAGTTTGAAGGTCTGAAGAAAAATGTTGAATGGTCTCTGCTGGGATGATGGCTACACCGTAGCTCAGTGGTTAGAGCATCGCTGAGCTCAAGCGAAGGCCCCGGGTTTGAGTCCTGGTGGTGGCAGTCAATTTATTCTTCGGACTTTTCCCGTTTGCATCTTTCCCTCCAACCTCTGAATGTCTGTGTGTGTGTTTCTCTTTCCTGCATCTTGCCCAACAACAGGCCCCCAAGCAGTAGCAGTAGCAGCAGTGGCAGTGACTCAAGCAGCGGTAGCAGTGATAGCGACTCTGGCAGTAGCAGTGGCTCATCTACAGGCAGCGGGAGCAGCAGCAGCAGCGGATCAAGCAGCTCGTCCGGCAGCGACTCCGATTCCAGCAGCCCACCGCCGCGCAGCCGCGATGCCCGACGCAAACCTGACCACCGTAGCAGCAACGATCGCAGAGCAGCAGAGCGACGCGCATCACCACCTGCTCGCCGAGCTAGTCCACCGCCAACACGCAGTCGCAGTCGAGATGCCGACTCACGACGCCGTCGAAGCGACACTGAACGCAAACCCAGCGCTGCTGCTGATAGTCAGCGTTCTCCTCCATCGCGTGCGAACAGAAATGCTCGTGAATCCTCACCTCCATCGCCAGTATTAGCAGTAGCACCGTCGCGGTCATCTGCAAAGCAACAACAGCCGCAGGCTGCGAAGCAAGCATCGCCTGAGCCGGATCGGCGTCGACGTTCTCCCGAGCGTCGTCGTCGGCCATCAAGAAGCCCGGCGCCACCGCGGAGAAGGTATGCTGGCTGTTCTTGTGTGTGTGTGTGTGTGTGTGTGTGTGTGTGTGTGTGTGTGTGTGTGTGTGTGTGTGTGTGTGTGTGTGTGTGTGTGTGTGTGTGCGTGTATGCGTTGTGGTGTGTTGTGGTGTGTGTGCGCGCGCACGCGTGTGTGAGAGAGAGCGAGAAAGAGAGAGAGAGAGAGAGAGAGAGAGAGACCAGCTAATTCCGTATGCACAACCGCCAAGTAGCCTACACTGATTGGAGATGACATGGCCTCACCATAGATCTGGCATACTTGTTTAACTGTATCCGTTGAGAGATATTTGATTGGCGGACGCTCATTGGGATGGAGCGCAGTTTTACTCTATCCTTGGAAAGGTATTTGATAGTTGAGTGACTAACACCCACTGAGATGCAATGTACTTTCACTGTATACGTTTGAAAATGGAATTTGAGTGTTTCGACCCTCATTGAGATGCTATGCCTTACGTCAGGCAGCAGGTGGCAATAGCTTCCACATCTTCATGTACTGGATCAGGATATCAATGAGATAATGGTGGTAGATTGTCTGTGTGTGTGTGTGTGTGTGCGTGCGTGTGCACGCGCTCGTGTGTGTCTGTGTGTTTGTGTGTGTCTGTCTGTGTGCATGTTCTACCCTCTCTACTCAGGCCCGCTGCCAGCCCGGAACAAAGGAGTCGCTCACGTCATGATCGCTCTCCGCCGCAGCCAGCAAGACGTAGCGGTGCCCAGCGAAGCTCCTCACCACCACCACCACCACCACGTAGAAGGTACGATTCAGCTGCTATGAAGTAACAGTCCTGATTTTAGACAGCACAGCCTGCTTGCATTCTGGTGCCTAAAACGTATGGATGTGTATGAAACATCCTTACTATCATTGCCTGGTATTTCTATGATAGGCACATTCGCATTACCACCGCCTATACAATTGTGTTGAGAAACACAAGCAGCTTAGAGAAGTTTCGCTTGTGCCAGGTCATCACCATGACTGATTATACCAGGGTGGCAGATGCAGCGCCATAAACGGCGAGGGTGAGGTGGTAAATCTCACAACCAATACCCGACAAGGGGGACAAACCTCGTTAGCTGCATCCATGTTACCCTCACTTCTATAATAGAATACAACCCACGTATTTCTCGTATCTGGGCGATCCAGGACCGAGCACTGGCCATAGCTTTGAAATGTCGTAACATTGTGTTTCAAAGGGGAAGGGCCCAGAGGTCTGTCATATGAAGTCACTATTTCCTCATCTTTATGTGTGTGTGTGCCCGTGTGTGTGTGTGCGCGTGCCCGTGTGTGTGTGTGTATGTGTGTGCGTGTGTGTGTGTGTGTGCGTGCCTCTGTGTGCGTGCATGTGTTTCTACAGGGCTCCATCTCCTTCTCCCAGCCCCGTAGCTCGTGAGTCACGGCAAGAAATGAAGAGGTATGTATGTACACCACATCGCACACTTGCATGCAAATAATATCATGATATCATGATGATGTCATGGTATTCCGAACGAATTTATGTTGTCACTCTTTGTTGTATGTCCTTGAACGATGCCAGGCTTTGTTGTTCATTATATCCTACGGTGTGTGATGCTTTTAAATGAAATGCGATGGCGTGAGCCAAGTAAAAACCAGGCGCTGCGCAGTCCCAGAACTTCGAACGCAGGGCTGTGCACTTGCGTAGAACGCTGACTGGACTCTTGCGATCGTATTTCATCGAGCAGTACTGGATCGGTGTGTATGTGTGTGTGTGTATGGGGGGGGGGGGGAGATGTGTCAGTGTCCTGTGTTACCCCACAAGTATCATGACTTTGCTTTTTGAGTTATGCGCAGTACTATGTGGCATACAGCTTTACTGTGCACCTGTAGACGCCGGGCTCTGGATTTCTCTTTCTAGCAATGATGTGCTGTAATTTGATGTGCTCTCTCTTTGTTTGTTTTGCCCAGGGCGAAGTCGCCATCCCCCAGTCCTGTTCCCGAACGGAGGCAACAGAAGAGGTGTGTGTGTATGTGTATGTGCGTGTGTGTGTGTGCGTGTGTGCATGTATGTGGGTGTACGTGTGTACATGTGTACGTCTGTGTGTACGTGTGTATGTATGTGTATATGTGCCTGTGTGTGCACATGTGTGTGCGTGTGCATGTCTGCGTGTGTGAACTAATGTGTATCGTGTGTGTCATGTGTGTCTTGAGTTAGTGTCTGTGTGTAGAAGGTCCTAGGACTTGCTTGCACTAAGCCGTGAGGTTATGCACTCATTAGCTGATATGTCTCCGTGCTCCGCCCGTACAACACAGCAAACAACAACAGAGTTGCATAGCCAGTGGCTGGCAATGGCTTCATGCACATACTACGAAATACTGGGCTATCCCCCGGCAGTACTGAGGGCAATTAGCATGTGTTAGTGAACCTTGCGGGTATGTCAGCCCCTACACACATCCGACCAGCGTGTGTGTGGCGTGCATATTACTCTCTCTCTCTCTCTGTAGTGTATCTGTACTAAAGAAGCTTATGTTTGTAGTGCGGTCAGCATTCCTCTTCTCTGAAGGTGTATTTAACATACTGTGGGTATTTTTTTAATTGGGCTTGTGTTGTGTTGTTGTTGAATTTGTGCAGGGTGCCATCTCCGTCACCGAGTCCCGCACCCGAGCCCAGACGCAGGAAAGATAGGTAGGCATGCGTGTGTGTGTGTGTGTGTGTGTGTGTGTGTGTGTGTGTGTGTGTGTGTGTGTGTGTGTGTGTGTCCCATATGGTGCAGTGGTGTGTGCAGCGATTTCCAATCGAGAGGTTGCGGGTTCGATTCGTCCCATATGGTGCAGTGGTGTGTGCAGCGATTTCCAATCGAGAGGTTGCGGGTTCGATTCCCGACGATTATGGTCACACACGTCTTTCTTCTCTTTCTCAGACTCCTCCTGACTTTTCTTTCATTCTTCTGGGTGGTTACCAACAGCCAGTGTATGCCGGAGTATGTGGTGTGATGTGTGTGCGGAGAAAATGAATGAAAAAAAGACCAAAAAAGAGGGATTCACTGGCCAGAAAAAGCCACTTCATAGCTGTGTGGTGTAGACCAGGCTGAATAGTGGCGGTCAATTCTTCAGCCTTGCAAGCTGTTGAATGGTGCAATCCCAGCACAAGCTGCTATGGCTTCTGCCGTAGCATCTCTATCATCGCCTCTGGCGATGGGCGTCCAATGGTCCAATGGTGTGTGTGTGTGTCTGTGTGTGTCTGTGTGTGTCTGTGTTTGTGTGTGTGTGTGTGTGTGTGTGTGTGTGTGTATTTGTGTGTGTGTGTCTGTCTGTCTGTGTGCATGAGTGCGTGTGATGTGCGCTCCTTTCTGCTGCACCTGCTTGATGTGGTCTTCGTTGATAAAGCAAACGTATGAACTTTACTTTTCAACTTTGTATGTGTGCACTGTTCCCTACTGCTGCCCCTTCTGCTCTGCTTTTACAGAGCCAGATCTCGGTCACGTAGTCCTGAGCCAGAGACAAGACGGCGACGTGAAAGGTATGAGTGTGTGGTTGTGTGTGTGTGTGCGTGTGTGTGTGTGTGTAAATCAGCAGTCGTCCCAAGGGACATAAGGAATGTACCAACCGTTGCGTTATAGCGGAATAATTTTGTTAATATTCTCGTTCTTGTCGCCGTCGTCGTTGTTCCTGTTGTTATTGTTGTTGTTGTTCTTGTTGTCGTGGTTACTATCAGGTCGCCTGCACCCTCCTCCACCAAGCGTCGCAGAAGGTAAGATTGATATCAGATGACACGATTGGTGGATGCACATTGCCGATGCCCTCTGCATGTCGATTAGTACTGCTATAGGTTTGTGTGTGTGTGCGCGCGTGTGCGGGTGCATGTGCGGGTACGGATGTGTGTGTGTGTGTGTATGTGTGGTGTGTGTGTGCGCGCGCTCGCGTGTGCGGGTGCATGTGCGGGTACGGATGTGTGTGTGTGTGTGTGTGTGTGTGTGTGTGTGTATGTGTGGTGTGTGTGTGCGCGCTCGCGTGTGCGGGTATGTGCGGGTGCATGTGCAGGTACGAGTGTGTGTAGGTGTGTGGTGTGTAGTGTGTGTGTAGTGTGTGTGTAGTGTGTGGTGTGTGTGTGGTGTGTGTGTGGTGTGTGTGTGTGTGTGTGTGTGTGTGTGTGTGTGTGTGTGTGTGTGTGTGTGTGTGTGTGTGGGTGTGTGTGGGTGTGTGTGGGTGTGTGTAGGTGTGGTGTGTGTGTGTGTGTGTAGGTGTGTGTGTGTGTGTGTGGGTGGTGTAGGTGTGTGGGTGGTGTAGGTGTGTGTGTGTGTGTGTGTGTATCCTGTATGTACATGTTTGCCTGTGTGTTGAACCTACACATTGTACTGTGTGTATATATGTATATGTGTGTGTGTGTGCGTGTGCGTGTGTGTGTGTGTTGAACCAACAGGAGCAGCACAAGTAGTAGCAGTGGCAGTGGCAGCAGTGACAGCGATTCAGACAGCAGTGCTTCGTCAAGCGGCAGCGGTAGTGGCAGCAGCAGCAGCAGCAGCGGTAGCAACAGTGGCTCTAGCAGTGGATCGGATTCGAGCAGCAGCAGCAGCCGCAGTCGGTCGCGCAGTCGTAGCCGCGGCGGCGGCCGTGGTCGTGCTACAGCCGACTCGCGACAACGTGACCGTGGTGGTGATGATGATCAACACCGAGCCAGAGCGATGGCTAATAGACGTCGATCGCCCTCACCCCGCCGTCGCCGCCGAAGCAACAGCAACAGCAGACGTATGTCACCGCCGCCGTCCAAGCGGCCAGACAGACGCGATCGCGGCTCTCCCGATCGGTCATCCGGATACCGTCGACGTCGGTCGCGAACTCCACCGCGACGCCGATAAGAGTACGATTGCTAGAGAGCGAGTATACTTTCGCCATGTTCCAACTAGTACTGTTAGCAGAACCATGACATCATCATGACATCACTATGACATCATCACTAAGTGTTGACTGATCATATGCTGCTCACGTGCGCACGAATGCCTGCGTGCTCTCTCGCACACACACACACACTGGATTCTCTTGTGCCGCTTGCAGCCAGCAGCAGCGTTTGTCAATAGTCCTCATAGTCCTCGTCTTTGGCAGGCCAGACCATCATCCCATTGCGTGGTTAACAGTGCCTGTATGTACATGCTGTGCGTGCATACTGTCTGTATGACTGGCGTGCATGCCAGTCCGTGTCAGTACCACACAAGAGCCGTCGTGAACATTACTCCTTGTATATAATAGTAAGGTTTGGTGGCAACCACTGCCCCCAGGTCGCAGACAGCTGTGCTTTGTGCATAATTCCTTTGATTGTGCATGTCATTTCCCTGTGGCCGATCGGCTTTTGAAGGGACTTGTCGTTCTTCGTACAGCTTTTTTTTTGGGCCGTCTTTTTACATGGTAATTGCACCAACTCCATTTGTTCTATCTGTCCTTCATTTTATATTCTTGTTCCTAGTCATCTTGCTAGATGTATTGATTTACGGGCTGCAATTCCTAGATTTGTTCCTCGATCCGCTCAAATTTCTGTCCCCTTTTTTGTAGGTTTGTTGTTGCTCTTGTCGTTTCTGTTCCTCCCCGCCTTCTTGCCGTGCAATAGGACCCGTGCGTGGGTTTTGTATGTGAATCTGTAGATCGATGACAGCATGTATAGCGGCGCAACATTGTCCAGTGTTGTGTCTCGTCGCGTTGCAAATGTTTTCTGTCTGCGGTCCGTTTTGTAACTGTGGAAAAATTAACAAAAAATTGCTCCTCTGAAACCTGACCACCGGCCATAGCGAAATGAAAGCTTGTGTGCTGGTGTATAAATCTGCAACAGGGGTTCGAACTGCCTAATGTACACTCAAACGTCTCTTATCCGGACGCCTCAGATATGGGCACGTCTCTCTACCGTGCCGGGCACCTTCAGCTGGAGTTCCAAGATATGGGCACGTCTCTCTACCGTGCCGGGCACCTTCAGCTGGAGTTCCAAGATATGGGCACGTCTCTCTACCGTGCCGGGCACCTTCAGCTGGAGTTCCCATGGCAAAAGTGCCTCGATTTTGGGTTTTTTTTAAAACTTTTTCATATGCGCATGACGTGCGTATTTTGCATCCAACCTGTGTAATCCACACATTTTCGGTCATCAATAGAATATTTTATATCCTGAACATGTGCGATACGTGCCAAATAACCTCATGAGAAACTAGCATGACACAAGCTGTCCTGAGATACGGGCAGTGCCCGGTCCCCAAGGCGCCCGGATAAGAGTCGTCCGAGTGTACATGATTGCACTGTTGAAACCAGGGAGCAGTATTCCCTGGTTTCAAGTGGAAGCACCAAGAGTACAGTGTGAGTACAATCAAGAGCACACACTGTATTTTCGGAAATTATCGCTGATTTATTTTTATTTTTAGTGCCTGCCTGAAATAAGCGTCACATCATTTCGGTGACTTGCCACTTCAGCGCCACCGTTTCAGCGCGATACGTCTCAGCGCCTGATTTCACAGCGCTATGACTATCAGTGCGGTAAAGCACAGCGCCAGCAACTCAGCGCGAAAAAAAGTACAGCGCGATCAAGTACAGTTCAGCGCCGCAGTGTAAAGTTCAGCGTGATACAGTAGAGCGCCAAGTCAATACTTTGACAGTCATAGTCACAACAGGCGATGTTCATACATGCATTGTATAATAAATTGGCGCGGAGATCTGTGGCGCTGAGAAAGGTCGCGCTGACTTATTTGGCGCTTATTTATGTGGCGCTGAGATATTTGGCGCTGAAGTATGTTGCGACGCTGTAAAATTCAGCACATATGTTCACGGCGCTGAAACGGTCGCGCTCACCTGGTTGGCGCTGAACGTGTGGGCGCCGACATGGAATGGTATATGGAATCATCATTTCAGGGCTTTTGCGTGGGTTTTTCAAATTGGGGTGAAATTTTACAGCTCGCAGTAAGTGCCTCAGCCAGTGTTGCCGAAAATACGGTAAGCCAGAGTGTGCAGCTCCGCAATCCATGCTGCATAAAACTGATCTCACGTCACGGCTAAGTTTTTGTTTTTTTGTTTACCGGTATGTATTCCCAGCCGGGTCACAAGTGTGCCCGGCGTTCTTTTTCCACATGGGTCTAAGACTCTAAGTACCCCCCCCCCCCCCAGCCGGGTCGCTGGCCCGGCTCTGGAGCAGACACTGAGATAGAACCGTGATAAAATGTCATTTTGATCATTTTCTTCATCAACAATTGCAGTAAAACCTGCCAAGGCAACACTCGGGTAAGGCGACCACCTGTCCTAGAAGACCACTACAACCAGGATCAAGGAATGCTACTTCCAGTCAAAGGACCCTGGATAAGGAGACCACCTGGTAACAGAGACCGCGTCGTGAAGGTCCCATGAGTGGTCGTCTTAGACAGGTTCCACTGAGTGCGTTTGATTACACACTTGAATCGATTCATGAATCCATTCGAATGCATTCAAGTCGTTCGATTTCATGTCCTGAGCCCTGGAATCGATTCGGAATCCATTTGTTGTGCGCGTTCTGTCGATTTGGAAAATCGATCGATTTTCTTGCGCGATCTGTCGATCGACAGATCGCGCAAGGATCGATCGATCGGAAAGCGGTGGCGAAACCATTCAAAACAAATCGATCGATTTGGAGCAGCTCCGAAACGTCGTACAGTGTATGTTTAGGACTTTGGTGAACAGCTTTTCAAATGAAAGAAACCAGTTACGGTACTGTACCTTGTCTCAAGTTTTCTGAGTGCAATCTTCTTGCCCAAATAATTCAAAAATCAGTTCCTTCCGAAAATTCCATCGTGCTGGACCTCGAAGCTGAACGTCATAAGCAAATAGTCAAGCCGTGTGTCGTCTGGATATGCAGTTGTTTGTCATAGCCAACATTCTTCTGGTCCGTTCGTCCTGCCATTTTCCTGACGATCGCAATGAATACGAGCAGCTCTCATGCTCAGGTTAGTGTTTATTGATCTGTCTCTGCACCCACTGCAAGGTATAATTTTTGTGATGCAGCCACTAGCCCATTGTGGAAGTAAGGGAATCACCCAGGTTCTTCGGATTCTCGTCCTGTCCGAAAAATCTCCACGTTTCAACTTCTCATCTTCCCCTCAGGCATGAGCTTGCATATTCATATTTTGTGTTTGCTTTGACAATGCATTTCATAGGTATCGTTCAGACTTTTAGGGCCCTGTAAAATTGGTGTTTTCCTTCCCGACAGTGATAATAATCGCAATCTATAAAATACATGCGCAGTCATTCTATAGTGTGATAAAACACAAGTGTAACTGTAAGAAAAGAGAAAGAGAGAGGGTGAATAAAACAAACATATGTGCAAAATACAGTTACGGTGCTAAGGAAAGAATGTGGATGCCGTGACATGTTCTTTCTGAATGCATCGGTCTGGCTTACGCTTGTGAATGTAAACAGCATCTATGACTTTTAACTGATTGAAATTCTTTGCAAAACAAACAATACTACAATTGTAAACCGAGAATCATTATACGCCAAACGACACGGGTCACTGAACAATAAATGCTTAAACCCTGCCGTGTTCTTCTTCTCATCGCCAACCTCCCCTTCATCTTCATCCTACAGCGTAAAATGAGTGAGGTGTGGTTTGAGATATGGTTGTTTTTTTAGTTGCCGTGAGAGGGAGAGACAGAGAGAGAGACAGAGAGAGAGAGAGACAAAGACAAAGACAGACGCACAGACAGAGAGAGAGAGGGAGGGAGAGAGGGAGGCTCTGTCGTTCTGGAGATGTGTTGGCGGTTTTCTCTTTCACCTCTCTTTTCTCTTTATAGTTTTTCACTAATTCGTCATTCAACCCAGAGCTGTGTTTGTTGGCTGGTCGACCACAGGATTTTGTGTGGGGTTGTTCTGGAGTGTCGGACTTTTGTTGTAGTGTGACTGTTACAGTCCTGAAACACATGCAGTAGACACACTACTATAAAATACACTAAAAATGTACAACATGCGCACATTTCCTGGATTGATCAGTGTGGATCGATGGCAATACAGTTGTAGTCTGTAAGCAAACAGCACCATTTTGACTAGGGTGAAATGGTTAGATAGGTTAACCGGTTATGTAACCGTTAAGAATACACGAACAGTTAACCATATGCATATGGGTTAATCGGTTATTTTCTTTCAATGTCCGCTGTACATAATATACGTGACAGCATGTGCGTACCCTGTCAGTACTGTGCACAATGGATGTACGGCGTGTATCTCCCTCATCTCTGGGGTTGCTCCCCATATTAGTGATGCTTGCGTATGCTCATGATGAGGTCTAGTTGATTAAATGACAAGGTGGTGGTGCAATCCGAAGCCCAATGGAGCATACAAAATATTAAAATATGTTGAACCTTTCGTTCAGAAAGTAGTGGACATTCACGCAACTGCATTGTAAATATAAAGGGGGTTTGTCAACTGGCAACCGCTCTATTTAGTTGTTATTCACTCTTTGTTGAACCTGCTCTGGAAAACTGAGCCATCCACTATACATATTGTAAACAGTTTCGTCTGAGACAAAAATGCGATAATACTCATAATACTCATAAAGTATACTTGTGAAGACAAAAACTTTCAAGACGTTTGTAATGAGCCTGAAATGTGTCCTTTTATGAGTATTATACATATTGTAGTGATTGTTTTGGCAGTGCGTGAGGTCATGGTACCATGGCTACATGGATGTACAGTCATGTACAGCAATGGTACATGAATACAGGCTACATGTACAGTTTATCTCTTATAGGTTGTAGCAAGAGTAGATAAACAAGAGTGTGCAACTCTGGATCTCTTCTGCACAATCTGCACATACCCCTGCCTGTGGCAGCATTTTTTGTAGACGTCACCTTTTTTCAGAAAACGCGCATTTTGACGCAGAACAGTGTGAGAGCACGTACTGGGCACCAACCTTGTAATGTAAAGCCCGGCCAAGTGCACGATGCAAACTTTCCAAAAGACCCGCAGCGCATGCGTCATAGAAAAGATTACGTCAACAAAAAATTCTGCCACGGGCCAACCCATCCCGGAGTTGCACACTCTTGTTTATCTACTCTTGGTTCTAGCCTATAACCTTTTGGTTAACCGCAGCCCTAACTTTGACATATATGGTTTATATTATGTGCCCAACTCGCTATAACATGGACCTCTCTAAAGCATAACACTTGCCGTACCCCAGAGAATATATAGTGAGGTCTCGCCTGTAAGATGAAGTGTGATACCTAGTTATTGCATACATGTACATGTAGGTGTGAACATCATTATAATTGAATTCACGAATCAATTTCATTTCTTTGAGCTGACTGCTTTAATGTCCTCCTCGAATCCCTTCGCACTTTTCCAGTTCATTTCAAATGAAGTTGCAGGAACTCAATGAATACCTTGGGCACCATCTAAGGCTGCGTATACACGACAACGCTGGGGGTGAAAGCGCAACTAAATCCTTTCGGATGCATGGTTCATTTACACGGTACGCGGAGCAAAACGTAATAGTTGTACACCAAAGCGGAAGAGAACCAAAACGCTGGCCAAGGTGGAAGAATTTGAAAACGGAAATGTTCTGCCGGATAAATTTGGGTGTGTAAACAGTCGAAACGGTCTGCTGGCCTCGTTTCCGTCACGTTTGTTCCGTTTTCGGCCGTTCACACGGATCCGACAATAAAACTTTTTTTTTTTACAATTTTCGTCATGTGACGAGTGCTGGTGTGTGGCCTGTTTTCGATTATTCCTTGAGTGTGATTGGTGCTTCCACGACAACACTCGGCACATGACGAA